TTTTTGTCTATTTATTTAATAGTTCTGACAACTTTATTATGTGCATTGCCACCTGTTCCTTGTCCTCTTCCTCCTGTTCTTTAATTTTTGAATCTACACTTTGAGATAGGAAAATTATCATCTCTATTTCATAATTGAGGAAACAACTTGCTCAGTGCTACACAATGAGGAAGCGGTAGAACTGGTCTTGGAACCCAGGCAGCCTGACTCAGATCCCGTTCATCCTGCCTCCAGGGTCTCAGAATTGTATCTTTCCCAGCAGAGATGGCTTAATTCTTGAGCAGCTGGATGTCCAAAAGGGGGCCAGGCTCCTTGGTACAGGGTACTCAGGCAGAGGTGGCATCTGAAGAGCTCACCTGAGGCTAGCAAAGATCTGGGGGACCAAGACAAAGTGAAGCTTACGCCTTTGGGGGCTTCCTTAAAGGTTTTAATCTATTTTTGTGATTGTTTCTTCTTCATTTTGTTATTTACTTTTTTTTTAGTGCCGGGAATGGAACCTTGCGCTTGCCAGACAGGCGCTTGTGCTGCTGAGCTATATCCCCGGCCCCGCTCTTTCACTTTGAAGTAACATAACAGGAGCTCCTGCAGGCAGTGCAGCATGTGGCCCGGGGTTCTGCAGCCCACCTGCCAAGCAGGAAGGAAGCCTCACCTCTCTGGGCCTGTTTCCCCTTCCCACCCTGTCCCAGTTTCCTCCAAAAACGACAATTTTCAGAGAGGAGAGTGGAATTTTAAAAACTCAATGTAGACCCCCCCAGGATGTGTCCTGGGAGAGACAAAATAGGGGAAAAAGTGGGCCGAGGAGGGACTATAGCAAAAGCTCCCTCTGGGGCTGAGGACGTGGCTCAGTGGTACAGACTTTGCCTGGCTCCTCCAAAGCCCTGAGTTGTTTCCAGCACGGCAAAAAACCCAAAACCCAAAACCACACACATCCAACAAAAAGTTATTCCTGTGGGGGTCTGACCTTTACTTATTCTCCATTTTGGCAGTCTGTTTTGTTCCTTTATAGCACTCCACACCGTTCGGAATAAGAAATTAGGTCTTTTGACTTGTTGAAAGTCTGATTCTCATGTTGGTACCCAGGGTGTATTTTTGGTCATTGCGACACTAAAAATGAGTATAGCACTTAGTAGATACAGTTGTTAAGGTAAAAATGCAAGAAGTCCGGTTAAGTTTGCATTTCAGAAGAAAAAAAATTTTAGTATATGTTCCATTTACTTAAAATTCAAATGTAATACGGCTTCCTGTGTTTTCTCTGCTAAATCTGACAGCTCTAGTAGTAGGGACTGGGTAAGTATTTCTGGAAAACTGATTAAACGAGTGGGTTTTTCATGTGTGTGTGGGTGCTTGGCTCTGAATTAAATTTGTGGCGAGACCTTTTGGCAATAGGCTCTCTCTGAGCCAGTTTTCTCATCGAAATAATGAGCATTTGGGCAGAGACCATAGTATAGGAATCGTCAAAACAGGAGAACGCTGGATGAACTACCAAGAGCAGGATGGGCGGCCGGGTACCCTAGGCCTCCAGACTGGTCACCGCCTGCAAATGCTCTAGCCCCGGCCGCCCCTCTCCCCGGAGGTCCGGAGACCCGTCGGAGGCTGTCGCTATGGAGACGCGGGCAGCCAGGAGCCCCTCCCTCACAAAGCCACGCGTTTCCGCTGCGTTGGAGCCTTGTGATTGGACGGCCACCTGGACTCTACCACCCGCCCCGAGCCCGCTAAGGGGTGGGGGCGGGACCTTATCCTCGTGGGACTCATGCCCTAAAGACCTGTGCTTGTGGCATTTCTGGAGAAGCTGGGTCTTTTACTTTACACAGGGGGAAAGTGTGGTCTCTTTAAACCGAGCAAGTGTGCGCTGCTTTTTCCTCTAAAGCTTATGCTAATACCTCGCCCTGAGAAAGAAAGGGGGCGTGAACGACAGCAACGCCCCCTCCAGAGCCTAGTGAGTCCCAAGATCTGAAGTACCGGAAGTGCTGGCGACGTGTCAGTGCGCCCTACCCTAAACCTTCCCCGCAGCCACCTTTCTCATTCAACTATGGGATTCCGGGGCCGCCTGGGCGATGCACCCGCCACTTCCGCACCGAACCGCCGATTCAACCGAACTCCCTCCCTCTGCGCGCGCTCCATCTGAGGCCCTGTGGTTGGGTGGGAACCTAGTAGTGGCCACGCCCCTTTCAGCGCCTATTAGCCAATGGGAGGGAGGCTCCCGGCGGGGTGTTGGGTAATTAATGAGGGCCGGGTACTGATTGGCTGCAGGGTCACTGCCGGGGGTTGGGTGGCGGGGTAGGTTGTTCCTGAGGTGGGAGGCGGCACCCGGGGCTGAGCAGGGGGCCCGCGAGCGACATGTCCCCGGCGGTTGAGGCGAAACGGCCTGTGGCGCTGTCTGATTGAGTCCGGGACGCCTTGGCGGCCGGCCGAGGACGAGGGTCGGCGGGGGCTGTCCTCGCATTGGTGGCCGCCATGCTGAGGCCCTGGGCGGCTGAAGGAGCCGCTGTGGCGCTTCTGCGACTGCTGCTGCTGCTGCTGCTGCCGGCGCTCCGCGAGCCCGGGCTCGGCGTGGCTGGGGCCGACCTGCCCGAGAGCGTCATTTGGGCCGTCAACGCGGGCGGCGAGGCGCATGTGGACGTGCACGGGATCCACTTCCGCAAGGACCCTTTGGAAGGCCGGGTGGGCCGAGGTGAGACCCGCTGCGCCGAGCCGCGGGACTGGGGGCCCGAGGTGCGGGGTGCAGCCCGCGGATGGCTGCCGGCTCTGAGCCTCGTCCTCGACTCTGGGGCCACGTCTCGAGCGAAGTTTCTGTCCTGTTTCCTGAGGGACCTGGCCTGAGCCCAGGGCCTTGCACCGGCTCGAAGCTACCTACCAAGAGCGATCGAGGCAGAACGTGGACGAGAAGTTATATTTGGACCTTGCAACCTGCGTTTTCTCAATCCCTTACCCCAGCCCAAGCTGGGATAGTAAAGACAAGGGTGACCTCCGGCCCCCTCATCTTCCCAGGCCTCGAGGGTGCTCTGGCCTTGTATGGAAAGAGTTCGTGGTAGATGCTTGCAGACCCAGAAATCATTCGCTTTCCTTGCCCCCTTTGCAGGAGCGGGGTTGATTCTTAGCCAGCACAGCCAGGAATCTTTGAAGAGGTTGGGCCGGGAAAGTTTGCTGGTAGCCTTCTCCTTCACCCCTCCTCCATTGGCGTGAGGAATATGTGTGCCTAAAAGTAGAAGCCACCCAGGGAGTGGTTATATTGGAGCCATCCTGCCTGTGAGGTTGGTGGCAATGTGTCAACTGGGTCAACCAGTGTAAGATCTGAGTGTCACAGAGTGCTACAGCGTGCCCCAGGTGGTCCCAGAAGCATAATTCCAGTTCAGGAGAAAAGTGATTGTGACTTAACTGGTTGAACAACTGTGGTTTTTACAGTTTCACAATTCCTAAAGATGGTTTGTGTAGGAATTGCTAGAGGAGGTGGTTAAAAATGCAGATCCCTGGTCCCCATTCCAGTACTAATAGATTAAAAAAAACCCTTTTTTTTCTTTGCTGCAACCCAGGTTTCTGCAGCAGGGGCTTCTGATGTAGGCTGCTCACAGACCAGTCTTTAGGGAAATGTGTTATGGATTCTTTGTTTTTACTGTAAGTGGGACTGGAAAACAGGTTTAAGAAGGAAGTTCCTAGCTTCATGTGTTGGAAGGAGATTCATGCTGTATTCTACGTTCAGATGCTGCCAGATTGGCAATATGCCACTCCACACAATGAAGACAGACTTTTTCTCTTTTTTTCCACGTTGTCCAGATTTGGCATTTGGCCTTTATTAAAGAGTTTAACTTAGTGTCTTGGAAGTTTGTTATATTGGGAGTGTATTGCTTTTCTGCATGTGAGGGTCTTGGGACGCAGGGCTGTGTTCTGAAGTTCTGTGTTTGTCTTGGAATTTGTTTAGCCCTGGCACATAGGTCTTAGGAGCCTGGGTTCAGCTGAGTCAGGACTCCAGGCTTGCAGCAGGCCAGGCCAAACTTTATAGGTCATTACTATCTGTATCCTAGACCTTCCTCTTTCTCTGAGTGTGGTCAGGGAGGAGGGAGCCCTCTGAGGAAACTAAAGACAGTTTGTGGACTTTGCCTGTTGAGATAACTGTGGTAAGGATAGTATGCAGTTGGTTTCTCTCACTTAGTAGATGCAGGGCTTGGGTCCCTTGTGCAGAGAATAAAACAGATCGAAACCCATAGTCAGAAAGTCTGATTTAATTTGCTGGTACATACATCGTTTTGTTTTGTTTGTTGTTTTGACCAGCTCAGTAATCAGCCAGGCTGTCAGTCCTCATGGTGGCAGTTCCTTGGGAGCAGTTTACTGTAGCAGGTGAAGTCACGTGTGATCTACCAGAGCTCATGCATAGTGGAGTCCTATTTTGGACACTGGTCTTTGGGGTGTTATATAGATGGGAGGTTCCAAGCTCCACTGGGTCTGCCATTCTGCTATGAGTTAGACACTGTTAAGGCATGGGTCGGGAGAAAAAGGGTGGGAGTTGCCACGTGCAGCTTGGACCAGTTGTGTTTAACGAGGTTGCTGAGAGTCACATTTTGCTGGCAGCAGGTCTGGGGCTGAGATGTGTTTAAGCTTCTGCTCAGGAGTCAGCTTTTTGGCTTCTTCTGTGCTTAGGAGTCAGCTCCACCAAGGGAAGTGCAGCTGCTCGCTCTGCCTTTCCTCCTCTGTCCTGCTTGGATAAGGGTGTGCCAGGTATTTGGAGACCCTTGTCTCATGCAGTTGTTTACACTAATTGCCCTAGAAGCTGTGTGTCTTACTTCTTTTCCCACGTGCTTGTGATACTGTTCGCAGCACTGCAAGGAAAGTTTATTGTATGTTGAATGAATTCAGGTATTTGTTGCCAAGTTAGATAAGGGCTTGGCCTGTTTTTGAACTTGCTGTTTTTCTATGGTTTCTTTGTAGTTCAGCATTTTTATAACTGAGTGGCCCAGGGCACCTGCTGGCTTATGCTTTCAAAGGCACTTTCATAATGTTTATTGAATTTTATTTCTGCCTGGAGGATAGCTAGTGCTTATAGCCTGGGAAAGGCATTTTTCAGTCTCCATCAAGAGATGGAAATACCACTGTAGAAGTGGTTCAGAGCCAGGCATGGTAGCACATGCCTATAATCCTGTCACTCTGGGAAGCTGAGGCAGGTGGATCTAGAGTTGGAGCCCTGTCTGGGCAATTTAGTGACTTACTTAGACTCTGTCTTAAAATAAAAAATAAATAAAGGCCAGGCATGTAGCTCAGTGCGGAGGCCCTGGTCAATCCCCAGTACTGCCAAAAGTTAAAGAAAAAAAAAAAAGAAAAGGAAAAAATGTTCAGCCACTCACCTTGAGGTTTTGGCAGGCTATGCATTCCAGGTTCTTTTTAACTTGCTTATTCTGGGTTCTTTACTCTAACTAGGAAAACACCTGCTTATTTGGCCTAAGGGCACTAAGTTTGGCTTGGCTTTAGGGGAAGGCTGCTTTCCTCTTCATAGAAAGATACCTGCTAAAGTTGTATAACCTTGAGGAACTTGCTTTATTTCTCTGAGCCTTGTTTTCCTTCTCAATAATACTTTTTATACTTTAGAAATTTCTGGCAGGATTCTGAAAACTCTTCTGTCCAGAGTAGGGTAAGTGTTACTATCTTTTTTCTACCCTTCTGCTTGATGACCTTTTACATGGAATTAAAAATAAGGCAGAACATGGCCCCATAGGGGGAACATGCTGGCCAGCGACCTGAGCCTATCAGATTACTAATTCTGTAATCTTAAGGGAGACTCTTTTGGGGCAGCTTTCCTTCTGGTGGGGAAGGATTTGGCCTGGGGAGATAAGAGCTTGGAAGATACCATGAGGTAGAGTATCACTGTTGCCTCTGATTTGCTTTCGGCCATGGGATTTGTTCAGAATTCTCTCCATGTACTGTCCTCTAACAGGCATACCTCATCTGCAGCCACTCCCAAGTACTGGAAGTCCACATGTAGAGGATTCAGGTCATCCAATCCCTGGGTTCCTTGCCTTAGTCCATTCAGAATTTTTTTTTCCCCCAGTGCTAGGGGTGGAACCCAGGCCTTACCCTTTTTCTTTTTTTATAGTTTGAGGCAGAGCTGTCTAAATTGTTCAGGCTGGCCTTGAACTTTGCCTGAGCTCCTTGAGTAGCTAGGGACAGGCATGTGCTACCATGCCCAGCCACAATTATTCTTTAGGAACCAGCCTCAATTGAGAATTAGTGATCCAGAAGAATCATCTAGTGGTCAGGAGGCTTAGTGTTACCTAGTGTTAGGGTGCTGAGCAGTGTGGGAGTGCCACAAAGAATTTACGGCAGTGGTCTCACATAGAACAGGTTCCTGCTCATTGTGGCCTTCCTGCTTCTGCGCTTCCCAGCTGCAGTTTTCCAGTTAGTTTTATTACTTCCTTTTTCTTTCACTTCATGTCTTTTAACTCCTCAGAATACAGGCATTTATTTAATGCTTATTGTTTGTATGTCCTTACTCAGCTGCCATAAACAGATTTCTCTAAAATATAATGAAGCATACAGTCAGCACACTGCTCAGAAACCTGTTTAGTTGTGAAAAGATAAGGAGGAAAGAAAAATCCTTTATGTTACCACATCTCTTGGGGCTTGGGTGAATGAAATTTGCTTATGGCTGCCCTCTTAGGACAGCTACTGGGCTTTAAAGGGAAAAACACTAAAAGGTAATTCTGAGGTTGTTAAGTCACTTTTGTGCACACGGCTGAATTCTCGTAGCCATGGGACTAAGACTGCCACGGATTACATTACGGTCAGTTTCTCACTTTTTCCATTTGGCAAGATAAAAAGATCTCCCACACGTGCAGACGAACTTTTCTGTGTATCAATAAATCAAATCCAGTTAATGTTCCAGATGTGTAAGGCTCACAGTCCTTATGGCAGAAGGACATTCTTAGAGCTCATTTGGAAGAGAAGCAGAAGTCTTTTAGTCTCTAGGTGAGTGTCAAGGGAAATGGGCTGTTGAGTCTGGGAAACAGTTGGGAGGTGTTAGCAGTGGATCCTTTGTAATGTTACCCTTTGGTTTCTTGAGGAGAGATAGGAAGAAAAAAGTCTGACAAAAGTGCAATGAGTTTCCTGTTCCATTGTCTCATCAGTCCATCTGATCTCATGGGTAATGTCACTTACAGGAATTGTTAACAGTTATGTTTATTTTGGGGGGGGCACTTGACCTCAGCCACTGGGTTTCTTGGTTAATCTTTTATCTTTTACCACATCCTCTCTCTTGAAATTTTGGTGATTCCAAAAATAAATCTCTGGGAATGCTGCTCAGAGGTATCTCCTAAAGGATCTCAGAGCCAACTGTCTTTAAGGTCATGTGAGATTGGAAGGCAGTCTTTTTTTTTTTTCCTCTTGAGACAGGGTCTCAAGATAGTGTCTCCCTATGTAGTTCAGGCTGGCTTTGAACTCGCTGTGTAGCCTAGGCTGGCCTTGAACTCATGGCAGTTCTCCTGCCTCAGCCTCCCAAATGCTGGGATTACAGGTGTGTGCCACCATATCTGGATAAGTAACTTTTCTCTCTTACTCAGTCTTACTCCTTGTCAGCTTGTGAAATATGAAAGGTACCTACTGGGATATCTTAAGCCAGAGGTGCCAATAGAACCTTGTGGCTTCTCTTTCCTTCAAGGTGCTGGAACCTCGTGCTGACAGTGGCATGGCTTCTCTGCTTTGCAGTTCCATTCTTCATTGCCATTATTGCATTTGTTCATCCAGCAACTATACGCACTGGCCGCTACATGCCAGGCACTGTGCTGGGTGCAGGAGCTGCAGTAGAACTGTTCTTTTCTGTTGGTTTTACTGAGGGAATGTTCAGGAGAGTAGGTGGAGTTTTTCAAGTCTATGGGAAACAAGATGATTAGACCTAAAGAAAATTAGAGCACGTGACCCTTCTTTTTATGAGCTGCTTGGCCTGCCAGCTGGGATCTGCTTGAGTGAAAAGTTTTGAAAAACCAAAGCTAGAATCTTATTTGTAATAAAGATAGTTTAGACTCTGGCTTTTTCTGATTGAGAAAAAAAAAAACATTTGGACTTAATCACCTTGATTAGAGTTCCTGACTGTCGCCCTGGTTACAGGAGGTTTCGCTGCAGCTCTCCCCCTTGGGAACCAGGCACCTGCATCACAGCAGTTTCTTCACATAATGAGGTAGACTTGTTCTCTTCCCATCTTTCTCCAGAAAGCCGGGAAAAGTTATTTTAATGTGCTTTCACAAAGCTTGCTGTGAAGGTTGTAAGGGCTGGTGGGTGATTAGTGTCTAGTTTCTTTCACGTTACTCTTCCGTGGAAATGGTTATCTGATTCCTGCCTTTCTGTGAACTCTGCTTGGAGCCAGGTGCAGAGGGGGTGGCCCCTTCTGCTTGGAGGGTTATTAGCATTGCCCTGCAACTGCCTCTGGCAGTTCTGGGGTCTCTACTCCTTTATGTCTTACCTCTGATGTCCTTTCTTTTTGTCTTTGTCCTCAGCCTCAGATTATGGCATGAAACTGCCAATTTTGCGTTCCAATCCTGAGGACCAGATCCTGTATCAAACAGAGCGGTACAATGAGGAGACTTTTGGCTATGAAGTGCCCATCAAAGAGGAGGGGGACTACGTGCTGGTGTTGAAATTTGCCGAAGTCTACTTTGCACAGTCCCAGCAAAAGGTAAGGCCCAGTGAGACCCCTGCTTGGCCAGAGGGACAGTGCTACTCTTGGACAGTCTCGGTTATGGTGCCTGATATCATAAGAGCCTCCCCAGAAGGGAGGAAGAGATGAATTTGAGGAAGGTGGATTCCTTCTGCCTTTAGAGAAGCTATGTTGTATCACCCATGTTCTTGCACTTGGGGGTTTCCTTGGGGGTTGGCGTCAGAAATGCCAGAATCCTAGTTCTTGGCTACGAACTGGTTCTCTTAAGGCCTTCCTGTCCCTCTCCTTAGTTTTCAACACCTTGTTTTTATCCTTTTCTTCTGCCCTTTCTTGTAAATTTCTTCCTTTCCATGCTGAGCTTTGTGTTTCTGTTCTTTGTATGAAACCTCCTTGGTAATAAAGCAGCGTGGTCTTGATTTGGCTCAAATCAAATCACCATGGAGTATACCCAGACCTGTCATTTCTTAAATTATTTTTGAACTTGAAGCCCAGGCAGGTGCATAATCTCCAGTTCCATGAAGGGGTTCGAAGCTGGCGGTTCTGACACTGTTTCACTTTCTAATCCTGGAAGGTATTTGACGTACGACTGAATGGCCATGTCGTGGTGAAGGACTTGGATATCTTTGATCGTGTTGGACACAGCACAGCTCATGATGAAATCATCCCTATGAGCATCAGAAAGGGGAAACTGAGTGTCCAGGGGGAGGTGTCTACCTTCACAGGGAAACTCTACATTGAGTTTGTCAAGGTAACCCATCGCTGAGGGAAGGCCTTAGAGAGTGGGTACGGGGAAGTTGTTTGCCGCCATGTGGGGTTCACCCCTCTTTCCTATTTCCTAGGGGTACTATGACAATCCCAAAGTCTGTGCACTCTACATCATGGCTGGGACGGTGGAAGGTGAGCTGAGCTTGTGACGTGCATTTTGATGTGTGCTGAAGGTTAGGGTTAAAGAAAACCTTGGGAAATAATTTAACTGGTCATTATTTTGGAAGTACTTTTAAGCCGTATTGTGGGCAATTCAGAGTCAGATGGATGAGGACAAAGTGTTACATGGTACTAGCCACAGGCTTTGATGGAAGGTATGTGTTCATAATTGCTGCTATCATTTAATCAGCTGTTTTATCTTGGAAAAATTTTTAACTTCCCTGCAAACGAGGATTAATAATGTCCCCACTGGGAGGCCTGATTCTTGCAGTCATTTGGAACATTGCCTAAAAGTTGTCCTCATTCCATTTCCTTGTCTGATACCTGTTTTCTAGGAGAGGGGGAAAAAGGAAAAGTGCCTTAGGGTTCTGGTAGGTTCTGAAGGACTCTAGTGTTGCTGTACTACACTGGGACAAAAAATCATTTATTAATGTCACTTTGACCTTGGGATCCAGTCTTAAGTATCTTTTTTTTTTTTTTTTTGGTTTTTCTCCGGT